GGAGGCAGGGAAGGCCTAGCCCGAGTCGCAGGAAGCCAGGAGGGACACCGGCTTCTCCCGGGGCTCTGGGGAGGTGCCGATGGGAAAAAGACCCTCCCATGTCCCCCCTGCAGCGTGCCGGGTGCAACACCGTCACCCCTTCCCTCCCCGGCGCCCAGCAGCATCTGTCCCCTCATGCCCACCCCGTGGGAGCCCCCTGAAGCCAGACCTCTTTGGGGGAGGAGGGTAGGACCCCTCCCAGGGAGCCTTTCCCTCCTCTGACACTGCTGCTCGGTATGCTCTCGGGCACATCACCTCCTTGCTGTGCCAGCCCCTGGTCCAGCTGGCAGGGCTGGGGGTTTCTCTGTGCCCGCTGTCACCGGGGGGGTGCTCTCAGTCCGGGGTGCTGCCAGGGCCCACCAAAGGAGGGACATTTCTGTTGCAGTGTCTGCATTTTTGGGACACCCCACACCGAGCAGTTACCTGCGCGCCGGATAGCGAGGAAGATGCTGGTTGAGCCTCTGGGGAGCGTTGTCCAGGCCCCCACGACACGCTGCCGATGGACTCCCTGCACCTCTCTGCTCCTCGAAGCAGACCCCAAACCCCGCTCCAGCTCACTCTGACACTGGTGAGCACCGGGATGTCTCCATGGGTCTGGCTGCGATCACGCAGTCTTGGCTGAGCCTGAACACTGGCCATGGCACAGCCGGGCTCCCCCCAGCCTCGTCAGCACCTTTAGCCAGGAAAAACATCATCTCCAGGGGCTCCTCTCCAGGGTGAGGAGGGGGTACAAGTGGAAACACATTGCCATATCCTTCCTGGGGGAAAAGGGGACAGCAGACACAGCCCCACGGCTCGGGGGGACAAGGGCAGCTGGCAGAACACGGGACAGCATTTGTGCCACTCTGCACCAAGGCTGGGGCTGAGATCAGCAACGGGCAAAGGGAGTCAGAGCCCCTTTTCCGTGTCTCACATTACACCCAGGCTTTCAGAGATGTGGGGCTTATTTCCCTGCAGAGCTGCCTGATGCTCGCAGCTAGGAAACTATTTAGGTGTCCCTGGGAGTTATTACCAGCTGTAGATGCTGCTCGTCTTCCACAGCCCCCCAGCTCCCCTTCCCCGCATCTCCATAAAGCAGCCCTGAGCCCTGGGATATTTCTGGGAAAAGGCAGGGATCGCGGCTGCACGTGAACTCTCCTGCACAATTCAGGCTCCAGCCTCAGGGCTATTTTTAGCAGTTCCCTCCGAGATGCTCTTCACTTGCAGTTTTATTTGTGAAATTTAATATATGAGGGAGGGGGGAAGGGAGCGGGGCTGGATCCTGGCACGTCCCCGCTGGCTGGGAGGCTTATCCCAGCCTCAGCGACAGGAGACCGACGCAAACCTAAAATCATCTGTCAAAGAGCTCCCGTGTCCTGGCACGCAGGCGGCAGCAGGGGACAGGCGGAGCTGA